TTGCATTGAGGGTAAGCACTTCAAAATAAAAGTTTAGGGGAGTCACAAACATTCAGTTCATAACAATCATGTACAAATCTGTTTGAGACCTACTTTCAAGTCTTTTGAGTATATACCCAGAAATGGAATTACTGGATCATGTGATAATTCTGTTTAACTTTTTTGAGGAATCACCATATCATTTTCCACTGCATCTGCACCATTGTATATTCCCATTAGCAATAATGTACAAGGTTCCAGTTTTTCTACATTCTTGCCAACATTTGTTGAGTATGAGACTTTTTTCCTCTAACAGCCATCCTAATGGACATGAAGTAGCATTTCATTGTAATTTTGATTTGCATTTACCTAATGACTACAGATATTGACCATTTTTTAAATGCGTTTATTAGCCATCTGTGTAACTTCTTTGGAGAAATGTCTATTTAAGGCTTTTGCCCATTTTAAAATCAGGTTGATTTCTGTTACTGTTACGTGTTCTTTATATTCTAGATATCAATCCTTAATCAGGTGCATGACTTGCAAATATATTCTCCCACGGTGTGAACTGCCCTTCCACTCTGTTGATAGTATCCTCTGTTATACAAAAGTTTTTAATTTTGATGAACCCTGACTTATCTATTTTTTCTTTTATTGCTTGGTTTTTGGTTTCATATAGAAGAAATAATTGTCAAATCCAATGACATGAAGGTTTTCCTCTATATTTTTTTTCTAGAATTTGAGGTTCAGTTCTTATGTTTAGATCTTTGATTCAATTATTTTTTAAGCATAATTATCATGCATTATGTTTTTGTTTTTGTTTTTGTTTTTGTAATTTTAGTGCAAGGTAAGGACCCAACTTTATTTTTTGGCATGCAGATATTTAGTTTTCCCAGTACCATTTTTGATTGCCCAAATTTACTGCCTGCAGGCAGTTTCCAAGCCACAGCACAAGGAAAGAAATAAAAGGAGAATGTGGCTATCTCACTGAATTGAGACTGAGATCAGAGCTGAGGAGGCCAAAGCAGCTAGAATTTGCAGGACAGAATATCAAAGAGGGAGACGTTGCATAGGAAAAGAGAGCTGGAAATTCTCAGTCTTTGCTCTGAGGACTGATCTATGTAAGCATGTTTGTTGTGAAATTCCATAAAATCAAGGAAAAAAACACCAAATACCAGTAGGCCAAACAATTAATTAATTGCATGTACAAAGAGTTAGGAATAGTTCACTTTGCCACTGTCTACAGTGAAGAGACCTCATGATACACATGACATTAAGTAGAATGCTCAGAAAAATAGGAAGTTTTAAAATGGCACTAACTTAGCCCTACTGTAAAGGCTGTTCTTGACCCAGCCTAACAAAGCTTAAAAGCAAGCATGGGCCTGGGTACAGTGGCTCATGCCTGTAATCCCAGCACTTTCGGAGGCCGAAGTGGGCAGATCACAAGGTCAGAAATTTGAAACCAGCCTGGCCAATATGGCAAAACCCTGTCTCTCCTAAAAATATAAAATTAGCCAGGCATGGTGGAGGGTGCCTGTAGTCCCAGCTACTTAGGAGGCTGAAGCAGGAGAATCACTTGAACCTGGGAGGCAAATGTTGCAGTGAACACCTGTATTGTAGACTGTCTCAGGAAAACAAAACAAAACAAACAAACAAAAAAAAAACAAGCATGGAGAAAAATCAAACTCAAACTAATCTGCAAGTACTTTAACTTTGTGTGAGGATGTGGTTTAATACTCTTTGAAGGAATGCAACTGATATGGTTTGGCTCTGTGTCCCCACCCAAATCTCATCTTGATTAATAATCCTCACTTGTTGGAGGGACCTGGTCGGAGGTGATTGGGTAGTGGGGGTGATTTCCCCCAGGCTGTTCTCATGATAGTAAGTTCTCACAAGATCTGATGGCTTAAAAGTGTGGCACTTCCTCTCTCTCTCTCTTTCTCTGTCTGCCCTGCTGCCATGTAAGACATGCCTTGCTTCCCCTTCCCCTTCTGCCATGACTGTAAATTTCCTGAGGCCTCCCCAGCCATGCAGAACTGTGAGTCAATTAAATCTCTTTTCTTTATAAATTACTCAGGTTTAGGTATTTTCTTATAGCCATGTGAAAACGGAGTAACACAGCAATCAAACTCATAACTTAACATCACAAAATTTACAATATCTGTCCTCTAATGGGCAATTACCAGATCTACAAAAAAAGCAACATAACCCATAACCAGGAAGAAAAAAAATCAATAACTGAATGCATACTCCAAAATGACAGAAATAATAGAATTGTCATGTGAAAACCTTAGCACAGCTAATATACTACAAATATGTTCAAAAATGTAAAGAAAATATAATCAGAGAAAGGGAAAATAGAAAACACACCTAAAAAAAAAAAAAAAAAAAAAAAAAAAAAAAAAAAAAAAAAAAAAAAAAAAAAAAAGTGACAAATCAGAGAAATAGCAAGCTACAAAAGAGGCCCAAATGTAACTTCTAGAGATGAGAAACAGTGTCCAAATGAAAAATAGATCACTATTGTTAGGGAAACAGCCTCCTCACTTTTAGTTAGGAAACATATGATTCAGAATTCTTGAATGACTTAACTAGCACTTTATTATCAGAAGACTATTAGTTGGAAACATCTTTCCTGTATTCTCCAGTCTGGAGTGTTTTTTTCCCTATATTTTATATATTTTTCTATATTTTTAACAATACTTTGTACAAGACTTTGAAAGAGTCCAAGATTCAACAAATGAACTTCCCTTCTCCAGATTAGTTTTCGATAGAACACTGCAGACAGCTAAGATGTGATACAAGTAGCCTACTTATAATATTGCTAGAAATACTTTGTTTGCTTTCCCTGTAGTTGTGGAACTCCATCTATTATAGCCAGAAGTTCCATCTGAGTCTATTTACTCCTGACTCATTTGGGAAGAAGAGTCAATAAAATAGTGTCTATAACCAGAGCAGTCTTTAAAGGAAAAGTGGTGCCTGCACTGTATAACAATTACTGTTAGTTGTTACAATCTTGGAAAAGTTTTATGTATTTACTAATCCCAGTTGACATATATTCATTAATAACATAGCAGAAGGTCTGAGAATAATTTTTTAAAAGACTGGTTTTGAGAAAGTATATCCCCAGATACTTTTGATGCAAATGTTTAATTCAATACAAAAGTGATTCTTCTTCAAGCTTTTTTGTCACCAACTATATATGTACTGACTCTCAATTTTGGACTGACCGTGGAATAACATATAGCAAATATGGGTAGTTATAAATCTTGATAATGTGCCTTTCTTCAGATATGAATATGAAAACCGCTGAGGCTGGAGCCAGCTGACTACGCTCTAGACAAGCTATAAATACCATCTCATCTTGGTTAAATCTTTTTCCTTTCTCTGCATCAGTTGCTTATCTATAAAGTGAGAGGATATGATGACTTTGTAATGTGTAATGTGTCAATTTAGCCAGAATTAACTACAGTCTCCAAAATTCCCTTTGTAGTATATTTCCAGTTTGGGTGAGATACAAAGTATGATATTCCCTCTCTTTTGTGAATTAGAGAATGGAAAGGACACTCATTCTGTAGCACACACACAAATATATTCTCCCCGTTGGTCAAACACTAATCTCCGAATAATGCCAGAAAGAAATTTTGTTTATATAATTAAAGTCCCTAAACAATTGACTTGAATCAAAAAGGAGATTATCCTGAGCTAGCCGTCTGACAATAAGATAAAAGCTCACTAGACAAAGAAAATGTGGCACATATACACCATAGAATACTATGCAGCCATAAAAAAGAATGAGTTCATGTCATTTGTGGGACATGGATGAAGTTGGAAACCATCATTCTTGGCAAACTAACACAGGAACAGAAAACCAAACATCATGTGTTCTCACTCATAAATGGGAGTTGAACAATAACACTTGGACAGAGGGAGGGGAACATCACACACCGGGGCCTGTTGAGGGTGGGGGTGAAGAGGAGGGAGAGCATTAGGACAAATACCTAATGCATACGGGGCTTTAAAAACCTAGATGATGGGTTGATGGGTGCAGCAAACCACCATGGCACATGTATAACTATACCTGTGGTGTTCCAGCTGGCTCACACATACACACTCAAACACACACACATACACATTCACACACACATTTCTCCTACTGACTCTATTCTGATTGAACGCTGATTAATACAAGTTTAAGTTAGTTAATGCCTAAGTTCCTTATTTCTTCTTTTCAGGTATGTATATGTGGTGTGTTTCTCATAGATGAACTATTGATTCTTCATTAGCCTGTAAGCAAAGCAAACAAAGGTATCTAGATCAAACTGGCTATGACTGCGGAATTTTATTCCTCTGTCAGTTGCCTCACTGGCACCATGCATCATAATTCTAATCTTATCAAAGATGAAATAGCTGTAACTAAGATTGGGCACTATTAGATTGAGGAGGTGCTGACCCGTGAAACAATGCATATGTCAATAAGTTAAATTGCTCTGTGCAGTATGTTTTGGTTGCACTTTATAATTGTCACTAGAATCTTCTACTTTTTTATTCAATGAAAGGAAATAAGTAGTTGTCTTCCTGATTCATTAATTATTTTCTTATACTATTTGGTGAATATGGGATAGCTTATCTGTATAAGACACCTATCCACTTTTTAAATACATTTGTTTATTTTCCTGATAATTTCCAAAAGTCTGTTCATTGTTGGTCATAGAAGGCTTCATCCAAAAATAAAGACAGTAATAAAAGACAAAATTTCTTTTGGAATATAAATAACACTAAAGTGTTTAAGTTTTAACATTTTCTGAATTTAAAAATAATGAGAAAATTTAATCTTAGAGTCAGGCTAGATTTAATTTCTATGACTTATGCCACTGGCTATTTAAGAAAATAGGTTTTCAAATAGTAAGGTTATCTGAGTTTAGATAAAAATAAACACAAAATGGATGTGAGATTTGGTAGCAGGTGGCTGCTATTCTTCCTCCCAAAATAGTCTACTCAACAGATATGAATGTCAAGAACTGTAAACTCTTTAAGGATGAGTTTATTTCACATGTCGTCCAGCACACAACTGAACCCAGCACAGAAAACAAATACTTATTAAATTAGTATGCATTTCTTTACAAGGAAAAGTCAATAAAATGACATAGTCAATATATTATTGGACTTGAGGTCAGAGTGTTCATCTGTAAAATGGGAACAATAATCATGACAATATCATTCAGATAATTATATTCTGAAAACCATATACATTGTATTACAGTGAGTTTGTAAATTCTATAGTAATATATTTATCTTATAATACTTTCCCAAAGATTGCTCTCTGATCTAATACAATAGAAATTTATTACAAAACATAATTGTTCATTTTATATTCATATAATGGATCATGTTAACAATAAAGGATAACTTTCTTTAAGATTTTTATTTTTTATTTTACATTCTGGGGAACATGTGCAGATTTGTTATATAGGTAAATGACAACTTTCCTTCTTTAGTGAGCAAATCTTTCAATAGGCAAAGTACAGGTGTTCTTTGTGCTACTTTTATTTTTGCAATTTATGTTTAATGAGCAAATCTATGCAAGGTAGCATCCTTCTAGATCTGGAAAGTTAAAATATTTCTATGTGATAGACCTACACTCACAGTTGATATCACTATTCTAGACAAAGCCATAGCTACAAACTAAGCACTTTCATTTAAAGGAATGCTCATAAACATCCACTCTCCTGGGTCTAGAGCCAAGCCCAGAAATAACAAGGTCAGATGGCCATGCTCAGGAAGAAAGTAAAATCACACTTGAAGAAATATGCTGTCAATTTCCCTATATTCCAACCTGCCGTGCTTGATTTCAATACTTCGTTTATCAAGGTGATTCTGGAAGAATCTGGCTGAGGACATCACCCAAAATCTCTTTCCCCATGTAATTTCACTCTGCTATTTTTTCAAGATAGGTGTTTATTAATATATAGATTTTATTTTCTGGTGCTCAAGACAATGTAACGCTAAATTGACAAATGGGGCTGGTCAGAGTTTTTTTAGGTACAGTTTAATTCTTTAATATAAAAAGTAAACAGATTTATAAGAAACATTCTAATAAATACATCACCATGATTTTTAAAAATAATACCTTTGTCTAGAGTTCTTGATAAAGTATTATTACAGAGAGTTTTTAGGAATTATTTTTTTAATTTTTGAAGTGAAACTGTATGTACATACTTTTAGCATGATACCAGGCTTATAAGCAAGGTATTTTAAAGTAAAGCTTTCAAGGAAAGTACAAATCAGGTATTGAAATTAAATTGAAGACACAGCTTTACTCTCTTCTTTGATCATAATTAAAATAATATTTTAGAAAAAAGCTAAAACCAAAAGAGGATATTATACAGATTGCTGCTTCTTTTCCAAACACTTCTCAATATCATCAAGCACTTCAACGGCAGCCTTTGGAATTCGAGTACCAGGACCAAATACATTGGAAACACCAACTTCAAAGAGAAATTCATAATCCTGTTGAAAGAAATTGTTTAATCAATAAGCCACACTATTTCCATTTTCAAGGAAATACAACAAAAGAACAATAAAGCCTGTCTTTTCTTCTTTGTCCTTCAATTACCCAAAACCTTTTCAACTGGTATACTATTGGCATTTGGGGCTAAAAATTTCTTCCTTGATTGGGACTGCTAGTAATAGCCATTAGAACCAGCTTCCCAGCCCAAGTCATTTAAAAAACAAAACACACTCTGCCCATTTTCTAAATACCTCTATGTGTTGTTTGTGGCAGGAAGCTGGATATCCTGACTGAGAACTTCTGAGCCTTGAGCCATAATTTTCTCTCACCTATATTTTCACTCCTTGTCATTATTTGTGTTAAATTTAGTATCATGTGATAAGTGTAAGCTTAAAAAGCTATTTTCTCCTAGGTAATTTTTGTCTGCAGTTAGTGAATGGTGGCACTTTGAATTTGGACACCTGACAGATTTTCTATAAATGAAAATAAGTTCGTTTTTTTCATTCTCTTTTGCTGTTGCTGCTTTTTTAGTTTATTTTAACAAAGTATGAGTGAAAAAATTTCCAGGGTACAAATAATACTGCAGGATTTAGGCTGTTTTAACATCTGAACGTTTGTAGCTACAATATTAATTGAGGTTAGGATGTGCTATATGAACCTGATCCTTATCCTGTTCATATATGACAGGACAGTCTGATTTGTGTTTATTGTTGCAGCACCCTTTTTAAGAGCACCCATTTCAAGTGATTACATTTGGATAATAAATGATATGGTCATGCTGATTACTCCCCAACTACTACTCTTCTGTCTCTATTATATACTTGCAATATTCTTATAATACTATAATACCACAATAGAACTTAACACATCTCATTGAACTTGTGAGAGCAAATTCTGAGAGCAGAGATCATGTCCAATCATCTTTGTTTCCCCAGTACTTGACACATAAAAGTGCACAAAACATGTCATTTTTCTTGAGCAGATCCTATAGAGTTTAAGAGCTCATAAGGGAACTGGATGAAACATGTAATAATCATCATCTCCAAATTGAAGATGATCATATTAATATGTCATGTACTTCTCTCCTTCCCAAAATTCTGTGTACCATTTGTTCTGACATCTGAGTTATGGATTTTGAATGTAGGATTCAACTGGAAAAGAACTGCAAGATGTTGCAACTGAAAAAAGAGTATGTGACTTTCTTCTCTTTCTTACATAAGCCTTGTAAAATGTACCTTTGTGAGGAGGTAAAATGATAGCAGTAAGTGAATCTGGGTAAAGAGTATACAAATATTCTTTGTACTATTTTAATTTTTGCACCTTATCTGTTAGTTGGAAACTATTTCCAAATAAAAAATATATTTGAATGTCTTCCACTTAGCTAGGCCAGGGATAGCACAGTGCCTACTTCATGATGGAAGCAGGCATCGTGAGTCTGCTCAACTTGCTGAAAAAACTTGGAGGTGACTGGTGCCAAGAGAGTTAGAAGATCCTAATTGTAGTAACACACTGGTGAGGACAGACCACATTTATTCATTTAATCAGACTGCAGAAACTGTAACCTCCACATGACAGAAGCTGTATCTGATTAGCCACTATATATTAGTGCCCTCTAATTTAAAACTAAGTGATCTTTAATTAAATAATAGCAACATTTTATATATTCACTGCAAACAAATAGTGACAAAATACAAGAGTGTTAACTGCTGTAATTATATAATTAGGGATACTCATGTTCACACAAAAGTATAAAACAGAAAATGGTCCTTATCCTTAGACATTAAACTCATGGGAAAAACACATATGGCAAACACCTAAAGATGTTCTTAGTAATTTAAATATCCAGAGAGTTAATACAACTTATTTGAAATATAATTCTTGAAAATGTCACCTCACTTACATAACAGGTCTACGTTTTTTTTCTCAACATGAATTCCAATTCGAATGTTTTCTACTAGCTAATTACCTTGGTTCTCACATTTTAATATCATGCCTAGGTATCACAGACTCTAAAACTGCAACACTGATAGAAGTGTTCTGTAGATAGAATAACAACCGTTTATTTTCTTAAATAATGACTTGTTTTATGAAAATAATAGGCAAGTGTGTTAACAAAAAGAATTTTGTGTTGATTATATCACATTAAATAATGTGTTGTTGGAAAGAAAATAAATACATAGTTCGTTCACTAGCCCCACTTTATTACCAATCTCACAACCTTATTCATATGAATTTTCTCCTTTCACAAGTAGTATATGAATGCACTATTCTATATTCTGAGTTGTAATGGAGGAAAGAAAAAATTGTAGAGCTGGAAACAAGGTAACACTTCTGATAGATTCTTGCTATAGTGATGGGACCTTTGTAGCATCTATGAATCATTTACTTATAGCAGCCTCATAAACAGTTCTTCTAACTTGGTAATTTTTCCATTCTCAGTAAAACAGAAAACATTGATATAATTGAGAACTGGATTGGAAACAGAACCTATTTGTATCTTAACTATTTTAACTGATGAGGAATGTCATATGTGGAAGGTGTCTCCCCACCTCATTAATAAATTAACAGAGTTATTATTATTATTTGGCTCCTGAAATACCATGCCCTAATCAAATTGCTTAAATAATAAAGGATTTTATAGGACCATGGAAATGATATAGCTCTGAGGTAGGACAACATTTAGGGATGGGAACATCTTGAAGGAAATGGACAAGATAGCTCCTTCTAAACAGAAGAAAGCAAACTACAGGAGTCATTCCCCTCCAGGACGAGGAGTCCTCACTATATCTCTGGCTTACATATAGTGAGGAGTACTAACTACATCTCTGGTTTGATATATCTACCATGTATTTACTACCACTGTTCTCTACTCCACTTAAAGAGTTTTATTACTTTTATCCGTTCCTTCTCCATAACTGTTTATTGAGAATGAAGGTAGAGTTATGGACGCATAAGTTACTGGTTTGTAAGGAGGTAGTTCTCTCACTGAAGCTTTGTAAAGTGTAAGTTAAATTATACATAATAAATTGCAATATAACGAATACAAAACAACACTGTCCACTTTTATATCTTGTAGAATTTATTTAGTGAAATCACCAGGAAATAATATGTTCCTAAATCTACAACGAATTTATCTTTAGCACCACATATAAGCTATCATTACTCAGGATTTCCATAACAGTACTAGAAAAATAGAGATGAAAAATACCTGAGGTGGTATTACCCCTCCACACATAACAAGAATATCTGGCCGTCCAAGGGAGTTAAGTTCTTTGATGAGCTCAGGAACTAGGGTTTTATGACCAGCAGCAAGGGTGCTTACGCCCACAGCATGCACATCTGCATCCACAGCCTGCTGGGCCACTTCACGAGGAGTCTAAACAGTCATAAGGTAAAGATAAATCATTGTTTATTACTAGATAATGACTAGAAAAAATTATTTTAAAAGAGTTATACTACTTACATCGACATTCTACCATTTTCCTAATTAAAAATCTTGACGTGAATATTACTCCATATTTCATCATCCTCAAGCCATAAATACCACTAATACTAATGCAATAAACATCAGTGCTGTATTACTTCCATCACTAGATTTCATCAATGAGGTTTAAATTACACCAAAAAATACCCCCACAAATCTTTAATATAAAGAAGAAATATAGGAAAAACAGTACCTTCCATTATAATTTTGTAAAGTACATCTGTTTTGTATATTATCAATGTTTATTGAGTGATTGTGCAGTCCAAGCAACATGTTATAGAATCTATGAAGAAGTAAAAGATTAAACACAAAATGCAATGTAAAAAAATGAATCTTAGGTTTTAAAATAGAACGGGAAAAACAGGTCAGTAAGATGGAGAACGAGGAAGCTCTAGAGTCTTGTTCTCTCACACAGACACAAAAATAGCAGCAATATTTAGACCAAAATACCTTTGTGAAAACTCTAGAAACTAAAGGGCTACAGCACCCAAGTAAGCGTATAAACAAGAGAAGAGAAAGGGCTGAGGAGAATGTGCTGTGGTGAGATTTAACCCATTTTGGACCCCACGTCATAAAGAATATTTGCAAGTGTCTATTATGAATTGAGTTACCCAAGATCATATCTACTTTCTACAATAAGTAGTAGAAATTCATACTACTTTGATAATTTACATATATTTAAATCATTTCATACAAAAGGTACTTACAAGTTTCTCATTGTAAATGTAAATTTTAAAATTTGGGAAAGATGACGCCACCTCAGAAACTACTACACAATTATAAGCACACAAAAATCATCAATCTGTCAATTTTTATGAGTTTGGTAAAATTTTAAGACTCATAATTTTAGTGTAGAAACAAAAGACTCTACCCTTTCAGGTAATGGGACCACATTCTAGGAGATCTCTAAGTAAGTCACACAGCATATAGGCAAAACCTTGAGACTGCGAAAAACATTAACCTGTGAAATCAAAACTCTTAAAGAAAATGTGCACATCTTGCTATTCACCTCTTAGAGGTAAGAAATTTAAACATGATTTATCATTCGTATCAATGCTACCAAAATGTATTAAATTAAAATTCTATTTAAACAATTCAGTTTTATGCTTTATGCTTACAAAAATTAAACTGTATTTTATATGACTAATTTATTAAATAAATCATCATCCAACTAGAGAATCATACCTTTAGCCACAGTTAACATATGTTAAGTTTATTTTAATGATGTAGTATTATGTTAACAAAGCTGGTGGTACTAAAAAGCAAATTACCTGTGTGTGTGTGTGTGTGTGTGTGTGTGTGTGTGTGTGTGTGTGTGTATTTTGAGACGAAGTCTCGCTCTGTTACCAGGATTGAGTGCAGTGGTGTGACCTCAGCTCACAGTAACCTCTGCCTCCCAGGTTCAAGTGATTCCCCTGCCTCAGCCTCCCAAGTAGCTGGGACTGCAGGTGCGTGCCACCACAGCCAGCTAATTTTTTGTATTTTAGTAGAGATGGGGTTTCACCATGTTGACCAGGATGGTCTTGATCTCCTGACCTTGTGATCCACCCGCCTTGGCCTCCCAAAGTGCTAGGATTACAGGCATGAGCCACCGCACCCAGCCGCAAATTATATTCTTACAGATAGAATATAATGAAGAAATTAACTTTTAGTTATTTGAAAATTTTGTTTACATGACAATAGCTAACAACAATTAATTTAAAATACTTGAATTTTGTGAGAAAATATTTCCCCAAACTAACGACCAAATACTGGCAATGCATTATATTTGATCGCTATTTAAAACAAACAAAATCTAAAGTAAAAGGGTTATGGAATATAAAATTTAATCAAATAAACCAAAATTGTTTTAACTGATGAAAAACAGAATGGGAAAGTATTCAACATAGAGGAAGAATGAAGGCAATTTAAATATATATATTTGAGATTCTTAATAAAATCTACATAAAATGCATAAGAATAAATTACATATACGTATTACTAATTGTGTAAACACATTTACATATTATACACTTATATCTACCAACACAGTTTAAGGACATATCTCCAAAAGTTCTAGCTAATTCTTTACACCCTCTAGTGTAATATCTAAAAATTCAAAAGGAGGAAACACTTATTGGGGATTCATCAGAGGCTAAGCTCCCTCAGGTAGGTTTACTTCTTTACTGGTGAAAATGCAATGAATATTCTTTAGTCCTCTTCTCATCTGACCTATCTGTGGTATATAATAACATTATTTCCTTGACCTTGAAATTCTTCTTTCTTAATTTTTATCTTATTACTCATCACATTCCCTTTCATTCCTTTACTGCCTCCTTCTCTATTTCATTTTAGGCTCTCTTTTCATCTGGTTGTGCATACTCCCCATGAGAAATTACATCCATTTTCATGCCTTTTATTTACCACTGATAAGTCTCAAAACCATGTGTCTAACTGAGGCCTCTCATACCCAACTAATACAGTCATCAACATCTGAACTTTCCACAAGCACTACAAACTCAACATGTCCAAAATTAAATTCACTCTCTGCATTAGTTTCCCAGGGCATCAGTAACAAATTACCACAAAGTGGGTGGCTTAAAACAATAAAAAATTTATTTTCTCATAGTCCTAAAACCAGAAGGCCAAAATTAAGGTGTCCAGAAGATCATGGTCCCTCCAAAGGCTCTAGATAAGAAAAATTCCTTGCCTCTTCCTAGCATCTGTTGGATGCCAGTAATCCTTGGTATTGCTTCATTTGTAGCTGCATCACTCAAATATCTGTTTCCATCATCTCATGGCCTTTTTCCCTATGTGCCTCAGTGCATCTGTCTTCTCTTCTCATAAGGGTAACAGTCATATGGGATTTAAAGTGTACCCTATACCAGTATCTTAAATATTTACATCTGCAAAGACCCTATAAGGTCATATTCAGAGACTCCAGGTAGATACGAATTTGGGGAGAACATTGTTTAATCCAGTACAGTATCTTCTCCACCAAACCCATCATTACTTCCTCAAGTACTATTTCAATAAATGGTCCCACATTCCAACCTGGAAACCTGGAAATCATTGGACTCTTTTTTCTCTTAAAGACCACCCTGTAGATTATTTGCCAGATATCCTTTAATTCTCTTGCCCTTTGAGATTCCTTCTCTGCCCTGGTTAGTGGTCCCAGGAATCCACCCCTGAATAAGACTCTCCTGCTTTCTGACTCTGGAACAGATTTTCCCACCGGTAGAGAAAAAGGCCAATATATTTCTCTCCATGTTTCCTCTCTGCCATGGCACCATGGTTCTGGCAGAGGTGTGTCCCTTTGTGACTAATTTTTAGTCAGGTGAGCCCCTTTGAGTGGTGTGCTGGTAAATGATTAACAACCACTTCCCTAGAAAAAAAAAGTATGCACACACACACACACACACACACGCACACATTAATTATAAATTTTACTGATACAAGGGCTATGTAGCAGACAATTTACAAGTAATAATAACACATCCATGGCCGGGCACAGTGGCTCACACCTGTAAACCCAGCACTTTGGGAGGCCAAGGTAGGTGGATCACTTGAGCTCAGGAGTGTGAGACAAATAATCAAAAATATGTGATAGTCTTTATTGTAAATAGGAAGTAGCCAATTGATTTTCGCAGAAAGCTTTCATTTAATTGGCCAAAATTTTGTATCTGTAGCCAGCCTACCATTGCAATTCAACCATGATTTGACAAAATCAGACTACAGAGAAATAATTATGATCTGATTCAGCAAAGATGTCAGTAATGTCATTGATAAGCAAGTGTAGTTCTGACATGGAAGGACAGGTATTTTGTTTACATTAGAGAATTAGATAAAAGTAAAACACAAATGCATATTAGAATTTTACTTGTTTATAAAAGATGTGAGTGACGCCTTTACAATTTTTTTGAGAGATCTTCAGAGGGAGGGTGCTGAGAGTGGACAGAGGGAAGACACAGAAGCTGGGCTGAAGGGGGAGAAAGCTGGGAACACTGCCTGGGGCTACCATGCACCAGGACTCTTTTTTTTGAGACAGAGTCTTGCTCTGTCGCCAGGCTGGAGTGCAGTGGTGCGATCTCAGCTCACTGCAATCTCCGCCTCCTGAGTTCAAGCGATTCTTCTGTCTCAGCCT